TCTCTTCCTTGACGTCCGTAGTGAAGACCATTGAAGTAGATCCTCGTGTACCAGGAAATCGTGACGAATTTCCGTTCCCGCAGCCAAGCAGTGCTCGCCAAGAGTTAGATTCCCCCAGTTGTCAGTTCAAGTGTCCGTTCAGTCCGAAATTTACAGTGTTGCAGGAAAAACTTATCGTCACAGTGATCTCTAGCTGTTAACTGAAAAGAGGCTACTGTCGGTTTTTTTTTCCTATAATTTTCCAAATAATAAAGAAATGCCTGTGCAACGGCGAATTTTCTCATAACAGTATTTTGGAAAACTGGTCGCTTACGAGAGGTGGTCGCAACGGTGGTCTTCTAGCAAAATAACTGATCTGTTCACGCTTACGACAGTATTTTGAGTTTTTGTGCCTATATTTTGAATTAACCGGAGTCGTGCGTTACTTTTCATAATCGATATGTGTAAAAGATTAATAAATGGACAATTTCAATTATTTCAAAATTTCTTGTTGTGCACGGTCAGGTTATTAATGTAAACCAAAAAAGTTTTTGCAGAGCACGGAAAAGACTAGGTACGAGTTTAGCGCTACAGTGTTACGCAGGACTTCCAGGTAGCGGTTTTCCCTGTAAGGTCGCGTAAGAACAGGTGATCCGACTTTTTCACTCCTTCATTTACTCTCTTCCTACTCAGCAAGACTGTGGGCTCCCTGTGATTTGACTTGAAAACTTTCGGTATTTTGGAAAACTGGCTGCTGAGGGGAGGTGGTCGCATGAGGAGAGATGGTCGCGACCGGTGGTTCGACTGTATGTCTTGTTGTAAAGCGAGCCTTGGGCTATTTTTTCAAACACAAGTAATTGAGATATGTCGCATATATACATCGAATACTCAGGGGAGCGGCTCCATCCACCCCCAGCCCCCAAACACGGTGGGATAACGATAACGACATTGCGTGTACGTCCGCGGGTTCAAAGCTGAGTAATTACTAAGTCTTATAAAGCTTCCCAAACATAAATTTATTAAAGAATTAGTATGAATTATGTCGCTAAGTGGTGCAACTTTTGGACAGCTCGGTTGATAGAGCGTATGACTATACTCACCTCAGTCACTGGTTCTTTCATGCATCTACTAGGAGGAAGGAATATAAGTGTATCTTGGAATAAGAATAAAGAATTGGTTCACGCTTAGCGTGCGTTCCTTTTGTTTAAGTTTCGGCAAAGTGAAGATTATTCTGAACAATCCAAACTCTACTTCGAGCCTTTGACTTTTCGGTAAGCTAAGATGTTTACTTAAACCTGAGTACTTCGACTTTGTTTGTGTACATTTTCATTGGGTATTTTTGACTTTGTTTGCCTACGTTTTCATTATAATAAATTCGAAGAGGTGAATTTTTCGTTGACAATTTTAGAAACCAGGTTAAGCGTTTTTGTTCAACCGTTGCTCAACTTATTGTGGTTTGTTAAGATCCTAATGACCTTTGGTTTACTTCATCGTGCTTTGCTTGTAGTCAATCACAAATAAAACATGTTTTAGCGTCCAAGTTGTTGTCGCCATGTAATAAAAGAATTGTTTGATGTTTTTAGCTGTGCGTATATCGAGTTATGGATGCACTTCGAAAGTTTGGAGAAACCTCAAGAAGCTAGAGTTGCTCGGCTATCGCCGCGATCATTGTGAAATGGCACAAGACAGCTCCTGGCTCGCCGATCTTTTCAAGGAAGTGGCCACCCTTGTTCTTATTATCTTCGTTGTTTACGTTGCCAACTTAGGGAAGATGATAAACGTTGAAGGTCAAGACGAATACATTGCGGACGAAGGGAATGCGGAAAAGTTCAGGTTTGTTGCTCAACTATCAATTACAAGGCTTCACAAGACATTCACGCCCAAATCTCTACAATATTGACGTACACGACGGAGATGACAGTCATAATGCGTTTGCCCATAAAACTCCTCTATCTCTAAAACTTCACAACTGTGATTTGGAGGCCATTAACTGTTTACCAACACAGAAATAATTTAAAGAAGTGAAGGCGATACCTGAGTAATAAATGAAGTTAACTTTTGTGTTCACGAAGGAGAGAAACGAAAATAACTGATATTAATAAAAATATTTATTCTGGAGGAATGTAAATCTCTCCATTCGTTGCCTCCTCGTCGCTTCCTTGGGTGGGTAGGGGTTCGGTATATAAGAGAAATTAAATTATCACATATTCCAACAGTTACATAAAATCGTTTCAATATATATATTTAAACATTCACATAATATATGAATATATGTAAACCCCGTTTTTTGCTTAACACGAATTGGCCTAAATTAAAGCTTTCTCAGAGCTTTCAAAGCTTTCTCGCGGTCAAGTCGCGAGTATAAGCGTTTCTGTTCTTTTACAATCGAGCGCAGCAGAAAAAAAGTCACACCTTCGAAGCGTGCCGCGTGTTTGATTAAACGGCAAACAGTTAATAATCCTTTGGACCGTGCAGTGCAAAAAATAAGAAGTTCTCATATCTCCAGCTATTTTCACAGTTTTCAACATAGTTAGTGGAGGGGACTCCACTAACTATGTTTTCAACGAATTCTTACGGCCATTCCGTTAAAAACAACTTTTTCAGTTTTGCACTGTGTTCACGCTTTCAAGCGGTAAGGGAGGAGTTTATTTAGCTTATAATTGCAGACTAAGTTCTTAAAACAATGGTAGGAGGAGTTTGTAAACTATTTGCAGTTTCAAAGGAGGTTTTCATAGCGCGCGAGCAATATTTGCTGTTTCATAAAAGGTTTTTCGTTGCGCGCGACACGTAACAAAGTAAGTCGTTTGTTTCATAAAACTGCGCGCGGCGGATTCGTGGTTGAATAGTCTGTATAGCGAGAAGAGAGAAAAATACAACGGAAAGGAAATTGTAAATTACTTGATAAGCTTAAGTTTTGTTAAACAGAACGTTATTGTTGATATCCCTTTGAGTGATTTTAGGTTGCTTTCGATTGCAAGAAACAATTGGGGTGGTAACTCTTTGCAACCGCTATGGCCTTCAACTTTTTTTTTTTTTGTTGGCGTTTAAAGAAACCGATTACAGCCATTTTTTTCTAGTCTTCGTAGAGCGCGCGCG